AAGCCGATGGGTCAGAGGGAGGAGCGACGAACAACCATCTACCACTTTCTCCCCCTGTTTCCCCTTCCCCCGACAAGGTCCCTTCTTCACCTCAACACCTCCAGCAGCCGATTTGATTTGCCTCCAACAACCCACGCAACACAAACACAACTTCCAATGGCACTTGCACTGTAAGCTGAAGTTACGAGCCCATCGATTTTTTTTATTGCACGGCTCTACACCGCCAGCACGATAACGGACCGCGACGAGAGCTAGGTACAGCAGAGGTTAACGGTACCTAACGCAACCTATGGCACTAATTGCGCGACACGCAAAACGGGAAGGACGACATTCGCTGCGGCTCTTACCCTTCCTGGTTCATGTCGATGGCCTGCAGGTGCTCCCCCCTCGTGAAGATCATGGCGTGGTTCTGGTTCTCCGGCTTGCCCTCCCCGACCACCGGGTTGCCCGGAAGCTTCACGCGGTACACCTCCTGGATGCCGTCGTCCCTCCCGCCAACACCGCCGCCGCCGCCGCCCCTCGTGCTGCCGTCCGCGTCTCCTTGCCCCCTCTGGTCGTGCGCCTTGATGAGCACGGAGAAGTACTCTTGGGCAGAGGACGTAGAGTCCCGGGACACGCGAACCTGCGCAGGAACCGCACGTTTTTCCGGAGCATGTTTCCGTTTGCGCGAGCGAGGTTGAGGTGGCGGCGGCAGAGGGTACGTATGTATGCCTTGTAGCGCCCTTGACACATCTACCGCACACCAAAGAACACAAAAAACACACAACTAACAACAACACGGCAAAAAAAAAAGAAATGTGCTCTGTAAAACAACGTCCACACGGGGGTGCCATCTCTCCGACAATTTTTACAGTATCTACCGTACACCAAAGACTGCACCAAAAAAGCAAACAACAAGAGGAGGAGTCCACGCACCTCGTCGATGTAGGCAACGCGAAGGTTCGGGAAGCGCTTGAGGAGGATCTGGATGTCGTCCGCCTTAGGGTCCTGGTTTTTCTTCATGCGACCGTATACCTGACAGGCCACCACGTACTGGAACTTCTGCACCACCAGCTCCTCGAGCTGTCCAAGGTTTGTTTCCGAAGCCGCAAAAGAGGATGCGTGTAGGTTTGACGGGGGGGGGGAAGAAGGGTAAGATAAATGGAATCACGCCGACAGATACCTCCGGTTGTGTGCAATCTAAAAAACACAATCACTGGAAGCGGCTTCAAAAACTGGTGGGGTGGGGGTTCCTTCCAAGCCGCAAAGGGGATGCGTGTAGGGTGAGGGCGAAAAAAGATACAAAAAGGGCTGCGCGGTGCGGCCTGATCTCGTCGCGGAAGACATGTCCTTACCTTACCGATACAGCGTTTTGCAAGCACGGTAGGCAACCACGCGGGAACCGGAAACCTACCACCGCATGACCACCACAACCACCATCACCAACAAACACCTCCCAACCGTACACCTGTCCCTGCTTCATCCTCTCAATGCACACTACCACCACCACCACCAACCGCAACAACAAATCCTACGAAGACCACTCCCTCCCCAACAACACACCTGTTTGCCTCAGCATCCCCTATCACGACCACCAACAACCAACACAATGGCAAACCGATAAACACACACCTGATCCTCCTTGATGCTCCCCATGCAGACTACCACCACCACCATCAACAACCCCAACCACAAGACCTACAACCGTCACCACCAGCGCCACCACACACCTGTTCTTCCTTGATCCTCTCTAGGCGGGCGAGCAGGCGCAGCGCGGCCTCGTAGTACATGATGCCCTCCACGGTCCGTGCGAGTGTCTGGGCGCGGAAGGAGGCCCACAGTCTCGTGGCCTCGATGTGCTTCTTGCTCATCGCCTGCTGCTCGCTGGTGATGCCCTTGCGCTCCATGAAGTTGCGCCAGTCGTGCTTGTACAGCGCCTGTTGTATTTGTTGTCGTTGTCGTCGTTTGTTGTCGTTGTCGTTGTCGTTGGTGGTGGTTGGTGGCGTCGGGTCCCGCCGATGTCAGGACAGGGAAGGGAAGGAGTCGACCACTGGCGAAACTACAAGCGAGGAGGGGCCAATCATACGACACTCATGACAGCTAAATAGAAGCGAGACCCCCGCACCCCTACCAACAAGGCTACCCCCCGAACAACAACAACAACACTTCTTCGATGACCCTTCCTGCCTACTGCGGCCTTCAAGTAAACCACACATCTACAGCGCAAAAAAAACCGTGCCCCCCCCCCCCCTTCCCTTTGCGCGAACCCCCCACCTGAAGGTACATGAGCGTGGTCAGCCCGTCCTCGTTCTTCTGGTCCAGGTCTCCGCGGCTGTACACCACGTCCTCCGAGTAGAAGGGAGTCATGCACGACCAGCTCATCATGTCCTGCACCGGGGGGGCCCTGGGCATGTCCATGAACAGGGAGTTCGCGAAGAAGGCCAGGCGTCGCCGCGCCTCCACCGAGTGCGGCTCCGCGTCGTTGCGGTCGATACCCAGGAGCCCGTGCAGCTTCTCGAGGATGGAGAGGGTGGTCTTGTCCTGCGAGGCGCCGTGCGTGGTTGTGGCCGACGAAGGGGGTAGTGCTCTAGCTTGGGTCAAAAAGTGGCGACCAGGGGTAGTGCGCTACAGCTTGGTAAAAAAAGTGGCGGCCACCGGTTGTGTGCCCTATACAGCTTTTGCAAAAAAAAGAAGTCCGGCTTGTTGCTGGATCGAAAGGATCCTCGTCTTGCGCACGCTCATGCTCTCGTCTTGTGCTGTTTATGCCTCATTCTTGCCACACACACCTCAACCCTGTTATATGGGGTCATGCTTTCGGAAACATTTCTCGCCGGGTTGCAAGTGACACGGATCATCCTCGGCCTCTTTCCTCGATCGGCCCAGTTGCAAAGTAAATGTAATCATTGAAGAAAAAAAAAAGAAGGAAAGTTCCCACTTGCGACGAGATAACGCAATGCATTCAGCTTCAAAAAATATATATTTCCGACAGACTACCGCCGTGGGACAAGATATACTGCTCTGACCTGCGCCATGCGGTCGAGCCGCTGGCTGGCGTAAGCGTCGTCCCACATGAACCCCGTGCTCTGGTTGGCCATGGAGGACAGCTTTACCGAGATCTCCGTGCCCCTCTCGTCGGAGCCTTTGAGCATGTTCTGCAACGACAACGGGGGGGGGGGGGACTCATGTAAACATGTAAACGCATGCCGAAATCGTTAGACCACTGACCCCGCATGCCTACAAGCCTACAATGCCGAAACGGAGCTATACCCCGGGCTATCGCCGGCCCAGGGGGGGGGGGGGGGGGGGGGGGGGTTATTTT